CTGAGTATCATTGGCTCTTGTTCATATGGTATCTCTTGAAATGGTTGAACGTTAACGATTTCCTTTTGGTACACTAAATACATAGTTAAAGTAATTTTTATAAATTCTATTTGCTTACTTCTGGGTTCTCAGAGACTTTATTGGTATTATTGAAAATGAAAATTGTAATTGAAAATTTAATTTTAATTGATAATTTAACATTGCAAAGCAAAAGTTATGAAAGGGAAAGTTGTGCTTTGTGAAGTTGCTCTTAATATTAGAAAAACAAATATCCAGTATTTTGAACACTGGAAAAATAGAATGGTCTTCTAAGTAATTAGGCAGGATGGCTCAACTTACAACCAAAATCTATAAATCTATAATGTGACAATAACACCAGGGAGGTATGCATTCCATGAAACCATCAACTGTGCTATCAAAAGGACATTTGTCCAGGAATACAGTTCAGAAGGCAAGAAAGAATATTCTTTTTGGTAGCGTAGTGGTTATGAATCGGGCTGCGAACCTCAAGATCAGCAGTTCGAAACTACCAGCTGTTTCACTGGAGAATGATGAGGCTATCTGCTCTCGTAAAGATTTACAGCCTCGGAAACCCTGTACAGGGTCGCTATGAGTCAGAACCAACTCCACGGTACTTAACAACAACAACAACAACATAAAAAAACTATAACAGGCAGATGGTTTTAACAAACAAATTTATTATTTCACACTTTAGGAAGCTAGTTCAAAGTCAGATTTCAGGCTCTGGAGGAAGGTTTTATATCTCTGCCAGACCTGGGGAAAGACCCTTGTTTCCTTTCAGTATCTGTAAGTCTAGCATTTCTTGAAGATCTCCATGTATTTTGACATAAGTCTTTCACTGAATATAGGAGCTTCACATTGCAGAGATCCCAGGCCCAAAGAATGCACTTCACTCCTGGCTCTTCTTTCTTGGTAGTAGATTGTTGTTGTTAAGTACCGTGGAGTTGGTTCCGACTCATAGCGACCCTACATAGGGTTTCCAAGACTGTAAATCTTTACAGGAACAGAAAGCCTCATCTTTGGAATGGATGAGGTTACCAACTTGTAATCTCTGTTCACTTTTCTCTCCTCTTACCTCTTGTAAGTAAAAGGTATTGCAGGGCAAATCCCAGGGGAACTCCCCTTACAACAGATCAAGGCTGTGAAGGGATTAAGGGTAGTGCATTTCACCCCTAATCCTTTTCCTGATCTATCACATCACATCATGAGAATCATCACATAGCTTCCATATGACATCATCACATAGCTACAAAACCACTGAGAATCATGGCCCAGTAAAGCTGACACATATTTTTGAGGGACACAGTTCAATCCATAACAGATAGGAAAGAAGGATGGATAGAAATGGTCATGGTAAACACAGGAAGAGAATGGGAAGAGGGCTATGGCACTGTGGAGATTGCTGTCAAGGTCACCAAACAAAATGTGTATGACATTTTTGACTGGAGACTAAACTTGCTCTGTAAACTTTCATCCAAATCATAAATAAAAAAAGAAATTAGGTAGGAAGAGCACTTAAAACTGTTTTTATTGTGAACTGAATTAAAGTTTACAAAGCAGATCATCAGTTTTACATTCAATAACTC